TTGAGGCCCTGAGTTCAAACCTCAGTATCATTAAAAATATTGAAAATAAATAAATAAGCAGCCCAATTATCAGTAGTTTAAACAACAAAGATTGATTCTCACTCTCTGTATATCCATCTGAGCCAACTGAGGCTTTGCTCCAAGTGATCTTTATTCTGGGACACCAACTGGAACATCACTTGGTCACCTTGGAAGGATTTGACATATTGTGCCACATTTCATCGGCTGACACATGCCATATGGCCAGGTCTCTGTTTAAGAGGGCATGGTAGGCTGGGGATGTAACTCAGTGCTTGGCAGTCCCCGGGGGGAGAGTGGGTTAAGGCCAGGCCAAATAGCTGGCCTGGTCCAGCTACTTGGGAGGCAGAGATAGGAAGATGATGGTTGAAGGGCAGCTCAGAAAGTCATCACAAGACCCTATCTGAAGCCGGGCACCAGTGGCTCACACCTGTAATCCTAGCTACTCAGGAGGCAGAGATCAGGAGGATCAAGGTTCAAAGCTAGCTCAGGAAAATAGTTCCAGAGACCCTGGAACTTGAAAATACCCAACACAAAAAAGGACAGGTGGAATGGCTCAAGTTGCAGGCCTTGAGTTCAAACCCCAGTACTGCAAAATAAATAAATAAAAAGGAAAAGGAGAAAAAACACTCATGAAAAAAAGGGTGTAGAGGGTCCTGGCCAGCAAGGAGAACTGGTAATGCTAGTGACCATATTAAGGAGCCGGAAGCCTGTCCTACTTAGACAAATCATTTCTTCCCCCTAGGAGCCTCAGTTCTTCGTGTCTGTGACATGCAGCAGTAATACTTCCTTTCACATAGCTGCTGTGGACATTGATTGAATGCTGGTGAAAGTACTTTGTTTAAATAGGGAAAGTCTGGAGTGGGAAGCTGTGATGTTTCTCAGGAAACAGAGGAACCCTGAAGCAATGTGAGGCTGGAGTGGTTATAACTATAGGTAGGACTTTCTGAAAGGGATGGGGACTGCAGGGTAGTCCCTCTGTCTGGACTCTCACACAAAAACATTGTTTTTTTTGGTACTGGAGTTTGGCTTGGAACCTCTGTTCTCCTGATCTCACCTCTTGAATAGCTAGTAGGCAGTTGCGAGCCACAGCGCCTGGCCAATTTTGGGTTTTTTTTTTTGGCAGCACTGGGGTTTGTATTGAGGTTTCACACTTGCAAAGCAGGTACTCTGCAGCTTGAGCCACTCCTCCTGTCCATTTTGGTCTGGGTATTTCAGAGAAGGGGTCTTGAACTTTCTATTCTCCTAATCTCAGCCTCCCAAGTAACTAAGATTACAGGGCTGTTTTGATTTTTCTGAGACAGGGTCTCACTGTGTAGCCCAGGCTGGCTCCTTCTACCTCTACCTCTGAGTGCTGTGATTACAGTTGTGCACCACCATGCTCAGCGCTACTGCCTAATTTTTTTTTTTTTTGCAGTACTGTGAATTGAACCCAGGGCTTCCAGTGCTAGGCAGCTCTCGATTGCTTCCCCAGCCCTTTTGTTTGCATTTTTTCTTTTATTCAAGGTACAAGCCCAGATGATCTTTAATTGAAATATTTTCTCTTGTACTTCCTAACCAGCTGGGCATTCCATTGCACCACTGATGTAACCTATGATGTCACCTATGATGTCATGAGGGTGACAGTCATCCATATTGCAGCCCATAGATTGTGCAGTGCCCAGGATTTCTTTAATCGTTCCAGAAAGCTCTCTGGCTAATGATCTGTGACGCATCTATCCAGCAGTGTTGACAGTCTCATCGAAGGTGATGTTTCCACTGTGTTTAATGTTCTTCTGTTTCTTTCTGTCTCTTGGGGGCTCCTTGAGGGCTTTGATGATCAGAGCAGAGGCAGAAGGCAGGACCTCAATCTGGGCCTGTTCTGAATGGTCAGTTTCACTGTAATCCTCAGACTCTTCCAATCACCGTTGCCTTGGTGACTTCATCACCAACCTTTTTTGGAGACAGACCCAAGGGGCCGATCTTAGGGGCCATGGCAGAAGTGACACTGATCTCACACCGGTGCACCTCAGGTACACGACTTTGATCTCGTTGGGGTTGAACTTGGGCGGCATGGTGAAGGTGGATGGTGTGGGATGAACCCAGATTTGCGACAACCAAAGGAAGTTGCACCTTTGCCTCCTCCAAGCCAAAAGACAAAAAAAAGCTGCATTTTGTTTTTGAGGTAGAGTTTCACTACTATCTTTTTGTCCTAAACTTGAGATTCTCCCGGTCTCTACCTCTGAGCACTGGGATTACACACATTCCCCACCACACCCGGCTAGACTCCCCAAATTCTTAAGCATTTTCATTCCTCTGATGACACAGTGGGTTTCAGGGAGCTTCTTGGCAAGTGGAGACAAAGGCACTCCTGCCAGCAACTGATGGTGTTGGGAGCCAAAGCGTCCACCTCACTCCTTGGCTGGGAGCAAGGACCCAAGTTTGGAGTTAAAGAAGGCAGAATAAGGAGCCCACAAAGATATCCCTGTGTCAATCCTTAGAGCCTGTGAATGTTCCTTTCCATGGCTAAAGGGATCCTGCAATGTGTCTAAGCTAAGAACCTTGAAAGGGGAAGATGGCCCTGGCTTGTCCAGGTGCATTTAACATAATCACAGGAGACCTTAAAAGAGAAAAAGGAGGAAAAAAAAAAAAAGATAAAAACAGCCAGGCACTGGTGGCTCAGGCCTGTAAGCCAGCCTGGGGAAATAGTTCAGGACCCTATCTCAACAAAACCTATCACAAAAAAGGGACAATGGAATGGCTCAAGGTGAAGGCCCATGAGTTCAAACCCCAGTACCACAAAAATAAATAAATAAATAAATAAAAGATGAAAAGAGACAGGCACCAGTGACTTATGTTTGTAATCCTAACTACTTGGGAGGTTGAGACTGGGAGGATTAAGGTTCAAGGCCAGCCCAGGCAAACAGTTCCAGAGACTCTGATCTCCAAAATAACCAGAGCAAAATGAACTGGAGTGTGGCTCAAGTGATGAGTTCTTGCAGCTGGGTGAGGGTGACTCATGCCTGTAATCCCAGCTACTCAGGAGGCAGAGATCAGGAGGATCTCAATTCAAAGCCAGCCCGGGCAAATAGTTCCTGAGACCCTATCTCGAAAAGCCCAACACAAAAAAAGGGCCTGGTGAAATGGCTCAAAGTGAAGGCCCCTGAGTTCAAGCCCCAGCTCTGCAAAAAAAAAAAAAAAAAAAGTGATAAAGCTCCTGCTTTGCAAGCACAAAACCCCGAGTTCAAACCCCAATCCCACCAATGAAAAGAGGCTGGGGGTGTGACTCAGTAGTACAGCGCTTGCCTAGCATGCAGAAGACACCCCCAGTATTGGAAAGGAGGCATAGAGTCAAGTTCATTTGAAGAGAAAGGAGGCATGGTTAAGGAGAGGAGCATGAGAAAGCAGAGGTCAGAGCAATGTGATTCCTGGCTGCAGGAAGTCACAAGCAGCCTAGGCAGCTTCTAGCCGGGCACCAGTGGCTCACGCCTGTAATCCTAGCTATTCAGGAGGCAGAGATCAGGAGGATCGAGGTTCAAAGCAAGCACAGGCAAGAGGCACCCTATCTCAAAAAAAAAAAAAAATCACAAAAAAAAGGGTTGGTAGAATGACTCAAGGTGTAGGTCCTGAGTTCAAACCCTAGTACCTCAAAAAACAAACAAAAAAAAACCCAGTTTCTAGATGCTGGAAAAGGTAAGATAAGTAGATTCTCCCCTCCATACCCCAGAAAAACCTTCCTGCTGACACCTTGAATTTATCCCAGGAGACCCAATTCAGACTTATGACCTGGAGAACAGGAAGATAGTCAATCTGTGGGACATGTGACCATTTGTTCTAGGAGTAAGAGGAAGCTAATCTGGACCCTGAGGGCTGGACCTGAAGGGTGGGGTCTTGACCCTGGACAGCTGATACTGGCTAGTCACACAGCCTGGGGTGGAGAGAGAGAGAAGCTCTAGCAGGATTGCCCACTTCTGGGGCCAGCGTGAGCAGAGGCAGAGCACGTCCATGCGATGCCCCAAGGGCAGCCTGGGGGGAGCCCCAACAATGGTTTGTTCCCCATCTTCCTTGCAGTCTCCTCTAAGGAATTTTTTTCTCTTTCAGTGACTCCTACACCTTGCTATGTGACCTTGAGCAAACTCCTTCCTTTCACTCAATTTCTGCATATGGAAAAGGAAAGAGGAGAAGGCCAGAAGATTCTTAGGGGCTTTGGAGACCTGCCATGGTGAATCAGCATTTCCTGGATGTGATGCGCCTGCCGAGAGCCCATGGTGGCTCTTGGGTTGCTGTCCTCTAGCCCCAGTCTGGTTTCCTCCTGAGAGACCTGCCTGAAGTCTTTCCTCCTCCTTTCCCAAATAATGCATGGCTGCAAAAACAAGGACCTTGGTTAAAAGACATAGGGACAATGCTTTATTGACTTGGCACCTATGAATGGGTGGCAACAGGGCCCCATGTGTCTTTGCTACTGCAAAGTGCAGGCTCTGTGTGTGGGGGCAGTAAATTGAAGATGCTGGTTCCAGCTGTAGGGAGGGGCCACTGTCCGTGCTTTGGCCCCTCCAGCTCCTTGTCCAGCTGAGCACCATCTGAGTCCAGGCTCTCACCAAACAGGGAAAAGTAATGGTTCAGGTTCCTGTGCAGCCCCAGTGAGTCTAAAGAAAGAGATGCTGGCCCTCTCTCCTGCCTTCCCTTTTCTTGGAGGATCCCAAGATAGGTCAGGGAAAGGGTAGAGGCCCCGTTTCCAGAGACCCCTGATCCTCCTTGGATCTGGGTAGAGGAAGGCAGGGTTGGGTACTGTAACAGAAACTCCATCAAAGAGGAGTTACGGTCACTGCCCTTCCTTCTATTTTCTGTTTTGGCTGAGCAAAATATGAGTGCTTTCATTACGCTGGGCCCACAATCGTCACACAGTAAGTTGTTGGGGGTACAGCCCCAGGCTCCCCCAGGCAGGGCTATACCATCTGGGCAGCCTCTCTCCCAGACAAGGGGAGAGAGGGACAAAGTGAACAGCAGAAGTTACAGGGGGGCTTCCTGGAGGAGGAGGGGCAGGTCATATTAGGCTTCCTGGAAAGAGGTGGGCTCCAAAGTCAACTGGGTCACGATGGCCAGCACAGGACACTGGCATCCTCACTGTGGTCACAGTTGTGGGCATCCCAGCGGATGTGAGAGCAGAGCAGCAGGGTGCTCTCATCTCCACGGCACTTGACATTGTCCAGAAGGATAGGGCCTCGGCCTGGGCCAAAGTGGGCCTCACCAGGAGCTGCCAGGGCCTGGCCACAGCCCAGCTGGCGGCACAGGACACCAGCTGCTCGGAGGTCCCAAGCATCATCACAGACAGTGCCCCACCGTTGCCCTAGGAAGAGCTCTACTCGCCCTTCACATCGGTGGGCTCCGCTGGCCAGACGTAGGTGTCCTGTGTGGGGACAAGTCCTGGGGTTAGAAAGGGCTGATCCAAGCTTGGCACCAGTGGCTTATGCCTGTAATCCTTGCTACTTAGGAGACAGAGATCAGGAGGAACTCAGTTCGAAGCCAGCCTGGGTGAATAGTTCGTGAGGCCCTATCTCGAAAATACACATCATAGAAAATGGCTGGTGGAGTGGCTCAAGGAATAGGGTCTAAGTTCAAACCTCAGAACCACAAAAAAAAAAAAAAAAAGAAAAGAAAACACTGGCTCATATCAGACACTTCCATGCTAGGCCAAGTAAGTGGTAGACACAGGCCAAGGGTGGTGGTAGGACACACGCCCTTCCTTTTGAAGCCCCCATGAGGATAAATGACATTAAATTCAGATGGGTAGCAAGTTCAGACCCAGACTGAGAACTGGAACAAAAGTGTGAAAACATGGTCTGCTCTCTCTCCCTAGGCCTCTGCTCACAATGCTAGTACCTTAGCCCCAGGCTAGCTGTTTGGAGACAGTGGTCATGTCCTTTTATGTCCTCTAAGGTCACTGTAGTCTCGCTGCTTCCACCCTGGACTCCCTGAGCTAAATTCTGAATTCTTTTTTTTTGGAGGTAGTGGTATTGGGGTTTGAACTCAGGACCATACACTTGCTAGGCAGGCACTCTACCACTTGAGCTAAGAAAAGAACTGCTCCACCCCACTGCTTTCCATTTTCTTGGGGATCCCAAAATAGTCAGGAAAGAGTAGATGCCTCATTTACAGGGAACCTCTGAGTCTCCCAGATCCAGGTAGAGGAAGGCAGGATTGGATGCTGTGACAGAAACCCCATCAAAGAGGAATTAAGGTTATTCCCCTTCCCCTTGTTTTCTGTTTTGGCTGAGCAAAAGCATAAAACACCCCAGCCTTTATTTATTTGACTTATTTTTCATGTAGTCTCAGGCTTTTGCCTGGGCTGGCCTCCAACCACAATCCTCCCAATCTCTGTTTCCCAGTAACTGGGATTACAGGTGTGAGCTACCACACCCAGCATAAATTATGATTTCTTTCTTTGCTTACCTCAGGACAGGATCTCTATGCCCTCATTTTGATCCCAACTTTATAAATGTCTAAACTGCTCTAGTTCAAAGTCTTTTTCCTTCTCTCTGGACACCACACCCCTATTGAGGCCTGAGGCCAGCACAAAAAGACAGGGTTCCAGGACCTGGTACAAATCTGCTGAGTTGATGTAACCCAGGCTGTGACTTCCCTCAATCCAAGTCTATCCAATCCTGATGCCTCTACTTCACTTTTATGTGGGTGTAGGCACCTACCGTCCCTAGGCCGAGGAGTGGGCATCCGGGTGGTCTCAGAACCGTCCTGCTGGACTTGTAGTCCTAGCTCCTCTGGGCCTGGCTCAGCAAGAACAGAGAAAAATAGATGACTGCCACATTGGGGAATATGGTTCTTAGGGCCAGGTCACCTCCTACTCTCCCCAGGGAAGCCCTTTGTAGGGACATAAAGAATTTCACAGAATCCTGAAGAACTGCTTCCCAATCCTTGAATAAGAAATGGAAGTTGTGTTAAAATGACCGTAGGCCTAAGGCAGATTCCTTTGCAACCAAGGCTTTGGGGAGGAACAAGAGGCCCTATTAGGTAGGCCTGGGCACCAAAGGAGGGTGGAGATACCAATTCTCACTGCAATCAATTAACAGAACCATTCGACAGATTATGAAAACGCCCCATTTCCATTAATTCCTCCCAAAGATCACAGGCTTGCTCTGGGAAGGCTGATCTACTCAATCGGCTTCCCACTTCTTACTACAACTTCGCTCAGCCTTGACTCAGCTCCTGCCCCGCCCTTACTCAAACACAAACCGAACGCGCCATGCTGTACAGCGCGCGCGCGCGCCCCTCCCGGGCCGCGCCCTAGTCTGCAATTGCAGACGGCGCTCCCTTCCGGCCCCGCCCCTGCCGCGCAGCCGCAGAGCGCGCCGACTGTCGCAATGTCGCGCTACTCCTCAGCCGACTGCTCCCACTGCAATGCAGCAGAGCCTTCATGCATGGCCCCGCCCACCCCTCATCAGACTCCGCCCCGTCCGCGCTGCAATGCGTGCTATGCGCGGCCCCGCCCACTCTTCCGATCCTACCCCGCCCATGCCGCCCTGCGTGCCTACGTATGTCCCCGCCCACTTCTCAGATCCTGCCCCGCCCGCGCCGCAGTGCGCGCCTCCGCGAGGCCCCGCCCATTCCGCCCCTCCCCGCGCGCCTCTGCGCGGCCACGCCTCAACTTCACCTGCGCAGAGAGCGCCCGCATCCTCGTGGTGACCGCAGTTGTGCTGACCCCAACCCAGATGGAAGCAGTCGCTCAGGCGAGCCTCGGTACCCTGGCAGCCCACGTTGTCCAGCAGCACAGGACCGCGGCCGTAGCCGAAGTGACCGAGGCCCGTGGCGCCCAGCGCGGGTCCGCAGCCAGCCTCGCGGCAGGCCACGCGCGCGTCCGCGAAGTCCCAGTCATCGTCGCACACGGTGCCCCAGCCCCCGGCGTACAGCACCTCCACGCGGCCGCGGCACGGGCTCGGGCCGCCCACCAGCCGCAGCCGCCCGCCTGCGGGGCGCACAGGCCCGGGGCCAGAGGGGCTGGGCTGGGGCAGAGCCCGGGTCCCACCTTCTCCCACCCTCGCGGAGAACCCGGGCTCGGCCACTTACTTTTCTTCCCTGCGGCCCAGGAGGCTGTGGTGAACAGTGCTGTCTCCCCAAAAGGCTGCGCACCAACTCCGGTAGCTGCGGACACAGGGAGGAAAATCAGAACGTCTGAGGAGGTCTAGGAGGTCATCTGTCCTTCCGCAGAACACCCCCAAATGTGCCACGCCCGCACCCCTCAATCCCGACCCATCATGCTGTCTAGCGTGTAGAATAGTAGATAGCCCAGGAAATTTGATTGGAATGATCCGAATCTTAATTTTATTTTTATTTGGTGGGCCTGGGGTTTGAACTCACACTTGCAAAGCAGGAGCTCTCCAGCTTCAGCCACACCTCCAGTCCATTTTGCTCTGTTTATTTTGGAAATGGGGGTCTCCTGAACTGGCTGAACCCTGATCCTCCTGATCTCAGCCTCTCAAGTAGCTAGGATTACAGGTATGAGCCACTGAGCGCTTGGCTTAATCTCTAATTTTAATTAAACTTTAGCCCCAGTTCCAAAAGCAGTTCTAACCTTGACTCACCATTTCACCCTCTTCACAAGGCCTCTCAATTCCCGGTCTGAGCACAATGCCACTTTGAAGGTATCTCTTACTACCTCCTCCTGCCTCACTGAACTTTCCAGAGCTCTGGGTTTCACACTTCTGTCTGCTTAGTGTTCTCACCCACCTCTACCAGCTGGTCCAGAGCCCTGGTCAGTTAGGACCTCCTTCCTGTGGATCCAGAACAGCCTTCCCTGTTCCTAGTCCCACCCGCCTTGCCCAACCAGCCCAGCCTGGAGGGTGGGCTCCTTACCTGCTGGCTGTGTGTGCCAGGTCCAATCTTCTCTTGTGGCCGAAGGTGGCAGTGCCGTGAGAGTTGGGGGGCCCGGGACTAGAGCGGGATAGAAGAGAGTAGGGTCAAAGGCTGAGGTTCAGGCCTGTGGTCAGCCATGGGCTGTCAGGGAGGAGAAGAGGGTCTTCCAGAAGAAAATGACAGATTTTACTTCCAAGGCTGGATACTCAGTCCCGGTTGAGATCCAAGAACTGCCTTACTTTGTCAGTAGTAATTTATTTGTGCTACAGAGTTGTACACTTCACAGTTTATATAGAACTGTCAGAGACATGCTTTCATTCCTCTTCTATGTCCAATGTTCTCAGAAGCCCAGTGTGCCTAAGACATGGAGATACGCAAGGCCTTGCACACTAGGGAGGGCCATGCACAGTCCTGAGAAGCTTGCATTTTTCAGCCCCATCTTACAGATAAAATAGGACTACAAAGGGCAAGGGAGTAGGGTGCGAGGTGGTGCATGCCTGTAATCCCAGCCTTAGGGAGACTGAGGCAGAGGAATCTGGAGTTCCGGGCTAGCCTGGGCTGCATGGCAAGACCCTATCTCAAAAAAGCCCAAAGTGGAGCTAGGTGTCGTGGTTCACACCCGTAATACCAGTTACTTAGAAGGTAGAAATAGGAGAGTATCAGTTTGAGACCAATCTGGCATAACAGAAAAAAAGATTATCAAGACTGAATCTCAAAAAACAAGCTGTTATACCCCATGCTTTTAATCCCAGCTACTTGAGAGGTGGAGGTAGGGGGATCTTGGTCTGAAGCTGGTTTGGGCAAAAGTCTGACACCCAACTCATACTTGTAATACTAGGTACATGGGAGGCTCAGCTCAGGAGGATTAAGTTTCGAGGTCATTTCAGCAAATAGTTCTGGAGATCCCATCTCCAAAATAACAAAAGCAAAAATGGACTAGAGTGTGGCTCAAGAAGTAGAAGAAGCCCTGAGTTCAAACCCCAGTCCCACCAAAAAATCCAAAACAGCAACAAAAAAAGACCCTGAAAGATAAACTAAAGCACAAAGATTTGGGGGTGTGGCTCCAGTGGCAGTGTGCCTACCTCGCAAATTCGAGGTTCTGACAAAAAAACAGGGGAAGGTGTGTTCAAGGCCACAACACAAGACCAGCCATGGTTCCCCCAGGCGCCCTGTGTGAAGCTGAGTGAGGCTCTGCCTGAGCCTCAGTTTTCCCATCTGTAAACTGGGAGTAATAGCCATTGGTTTACCACATGCGTTTTCCATTTCGTAAATTGGAGCGCATCTGTGAAATGGCTTTATTGGCCCTATTATTCCTATTTGTTGAGAACACTTCCCAGACTAAAGAGTGTCCAGGTGGGGAGATAATAATACCAGAGCTTCAGGATTGCAGAGGACTGTTCCAGGTGATTTGCGGTACCTCCCGCGCAATTCTGCAGTATTGTTAAAATATTATAGGAGGAGTGCTTGGAAATTGCTAGGAAATTCTGGAGGCATTCTTACTAGAATTATTCTTATTAGAGCAATACCGCAGTATTTTTACATAGCTATGGAGTGTGCTGTGGGATATTGACAGGCGCTTTCTAAAGCAGGACTTAAGTAATTTTACCTTTCGTGGAGAGTTCACGGGAAGCACCAAGCAGCCAATACCCTTTTTAGCACCTAGGGCTCTTATCAGCTGTCTCCAGGCCCCGCCCCGCCGTCAAGCCCCGCCCACGGGCCCCACCCACAAACACCGCCCCTCTGGCCTGGCCCCGCCCATCGTCGCTGGCCCCCCGCCCCGGCAGGCCCCACCCCTCTGGCCCCGCACCTGCGCAGAGCGCGCCGGCGTCCTCGTGGTGGCCGCAGTTATGCACGCCCCAGCCCAGGCTCAGGCAGGCCGCTAGGCGGGGCTCGCCACCTTCGCAGTGCACGTTGTCCAGCAGAATGTGTCCAGTGCCATAGCCGAAGAAAGCATTGGTGGTGGCGGCCAAGGCCGCCCCACATCCCAGTTGGCGGCAGACCACGGCGGCGTCCGGCAGCCCCCAGTCATCGTCGCACACAGTGCCCCACAGGCCGCCGTGCAAGATTTCCACTCGGCCCTGACAGGGACCCGCGCCCCCTACCAGGCGCACGCTGCTCTCACCTGGTGATGGGGACGGGGTGGGGGGGCGGGTGGAGGGCAGAGAGCATCTCCCACAGGACTCTGCAGGCCTCCACCCATGCAAACTGAGCTGTGCCCCAGGACCCAAAATCCAGGGGGACCCAAAACCCCATCCCCCTCCACCAGGGCACTACCTCCCCACAGTCCGGCCAGCTTTGATTGTGCATCACCTTCCTAAAACCAACCTTTATCTCCTGGACATTGGAAGAAAAACTTCACCTTTCAAGGTGCAGCCCCCACAGCTGCCTCCATGAAGCCCTCCCTGATCTGATGGATGGGACTCTTTTCCTCTTCTGAGGAAGAGGAACTGTCCCATCAAAGGAGTGACCTTTTCCTTTTCTTCTACAACATGGTCATGATTTCTTGTGCATGCCTTACATTTGAGCCCCTCACCCCACCTTTCTCACTTCCTCTAGCCTTCAATTTGTAATCCTTGTCTTCCTACTGCCTAGCCAGGATAGAGCATGGGAGACTCCCAAGACTTACCTTTCCCATTCTGAGGAGTTGTAGGGGAGGCTCTGCTGGTTAACACCTTCCTTGTAGATAGCTGTGTGGGTAAGAATTCTGGGAAGGAAACAGGGTGAAAGGAAGGATACAAAGATCTTTCTGTTCTCCATCCTCACCAAAGAGGACTGGCCACACTGAGGGCCAAAGTCAAGAACCCTGGCATATGAAAGAAGGGGCCACCAGAATTCTAAACTTTTTTTTTTTTTTTTTTGAAACTGGGTCTCACTATGTATTACAGGCTGGCCTGAAATCCTGATTATTCTGCCAAAACCTTGAGTGTTGGGAGATGCACATGGGAGATGGAGGCCCGAGGCCCAAGGCCCACCCAGGCAAAAGCTGGAAAAAGTAAAAAGGAGATGGGTGCCAATGGTTTACACCTGTAATCCTAGCTATTTGGAAGACTGAGATCAGGAGATTCACGGTTTGAGTTCAATCCAGGCAAAGAGTTTGAGACAGCCCATCTCCGAAATAACCAGAGCAAAATGAACTAGAGGTATGGCTCAAGTGGTAGAGCACCTGTTCTACAAGCATGAGGTCCTAAGTTCAAACCCCAGTCCCACCACAAACAGAAAAAAAAGAGCTCTACTGGGGTGATCAGACATGACAAAGAAACAGCGGCACTGGTTTTCTTTCTATCCTAAGGTTGCATAATGGGCCAGAAGGACCCCAGGACCCAAGCTGGGCTCTTTCTCAGGCACTAGGCAGTGATGTAATTTTGGCTTGGTCTGAACAGAACAGCCTGACCACCGGGAAGTCCCCCTTTTTATCTAGCCTGCAGCCCTGCTGCCTGCCCTTTTGGGTCACAGTCCTTTGCTCACCGTTGCACAGGACAGCTACATCCTCGTAGTGAAAGCAATTGTGAATGCCCCAGCCCCGGCTGCCACACTCGCTCAGCGCAGCCTCCTGCCCAAGGCACTCCACGTTGTCCAGCAGGATGGGGCCTCGGCCCTGGCCAAAGGCGAGTGGCCGTGGCACGGGCAGTGCCAGGCCGCAGCCCAGCTGGCGACACACCACGTTGGCATCCACCACATCCCAGTCGTCATCACAGACACTGCCCCAAGAACCACTGTGCAGGACTTCCAGGCGCCCCCGGCAGCGGGTGGGGCCCCCCACCAGCCTCAGCTCTGTGAAGAGGGTTCAGCTGGCACCAAGGGAGTCATGGAGCCCCATCTACAGAATGCCCACCTTCCTGTGAGGCCACAGGAGCCTTGGGGTCTGATCCTTCCGTAAGATGGGAGGTTAGGCAATTTGAGGGAGTGGGAGAAGGCACATGGAGTCTGAGTAGCTGAGTTGGGGGGCAGGTGATGACAAGGAAGGGAGGAGCAGTACCCACCTGGAAAAGGCAGTGAAGTGGCCTGGAGGGCGCTGGCTGAAACAGAGTGAGGAAGAGCATGGGTCCCTCTGCCCATCCTTCTTCGACTGCCTGGTCCCGGTGGTCCTAACAGTCAGCCCCTCTTCTTGGACTTCTCTTTTTCCAAAGCCTCATTGCTGCTGCTTTTTTTTTTTTTTTTTGGTGGGAGTGGGGTTTGAACTCAGGGTTTTCACACTCACAAAGCAGGTGGTTAACTGCTTGAGCCACACCTCCAATCCATTTAGCTATGATTATTTTGGAGATGGGGGTCTCATGAACTATTTGCCCAGGCTGTCTTCAACCATGATCCTCCCAATCTTAGCCTCCCAAGTAGCTAGGGTTACAGACAGTCACAGGTGCCCTGCTGCCTCATGGCCTCTTTCTGGGACTACCCCATCAGCCTCCCTGCCTCACTCCTTCCCAATGGTCAATACACCTCCCCAGAAGGTCTGCCCAAGACACAGACCTGCCTGTGTCACTCTACTGACACCCCTTAAAGACCCAGGCATTCCAGCCTCAGAACTTTCTCTACAAAGCTTTCTGGTGTCTTCTGACAAGACTTTATTTTTTGAGATGCTGGGGATAGAACTCGGGTTTCATGTATTGTTAAGCAGTACTCTCTACCCCACTGGCCACCTTACTTCCTTTTATTATTTTTTTTTCTTGAGACAGGGTCTCACTCTGGAGTCCAGGTTGGCCTCCTCTTGAGATCATCCTGCTCAGGTTTTGAGTGCTGGGATTACAGACACACATGGCTACTCCTGGCTCCTGCCTTACTTCTTAATCTCCCATTCCTGTTGCCTCCAGGCCCCTTCAGGATAACCATGCTTATTACAGCTCCATGGACCCTTCAGGACGGAGAAGGGAGCACCTTCCTCTTTGGGAAGCCTTCCTGGTGCCCTCAGCCCTCTGACCCCTGGGCACACTGGCCTGCCTGAGCAATGCCTGGCTCACGACCTTCTGCCTTGCAATGTGGCCATACTTGTCTCATGTCTCTGTCCCCTAGGGCTCCCTATTCAGCCTATTCAGGGTACATCTCTCTCTCTCTCTCTCCCCCCATCTCCCTCTCCCTCTCTCTCTCCCCATCTCCCTCTCCCTCTCTCTTGGGATTGAACTCAGGGCCTTGCACTTGATAGGCAGGCACTCTACCACTTGAGCCACATCTCCCTTTTTGCTTTAGTTTGTGTTTTTCAGATAGGAGCTTAAGCTTTCAATTGAGCTGCCCTTGGACTGCAATCCTGCTACCTCTGCCTCCCGAGTAGCTGTGACTATAGGTACATACCACAATACCCAGTGCTCAGGACCTTTTTTTTTTTTTCCTGGTGCTGGGGTTTGAACTCAGGGCCTTCACCTTGAGTCACTCCACCAGCCCTTTTTGTGAAGATTTGTTTCAGAGATAGGGTCTCGTGAACTATTTGCCTGGGCTGGCTTCGAACTGAGGTCCTCCTGATCTCTGCCTTCTGAGTAGCTGGGATTACAGGTGTGATGGCCTCAGGACCTCTTATCAGGAAGTGTTTCACTGGATCTGCCCTAAGTGTGGAAATTGGTTTGGGATTCATTATAATTTTCTCCCAAAAGATTTACCTCTATGAGTCCTGCCCCAACTGTCACATATAGGTGCATGTTTGATGTGGACTAACTCACTCACTGATTAGAACAAGTAATGAGTTAAGATTTCTGTGCTGGGCACTGGTGGCTCCCACCTGTAATCCCAGCTACTCAGGAGGCAGAGATCAGGAGGATCGAGGTTTGAAGCCAGTCCAGGCAAATAGTTCTTGAGACCCTATCTGGTGGAGTGGCCAAGGTGTAGGTCCTGAGTTCAAGTTCCAGAACCACAAAAAAAAAAAAAATTGAACCCAGGGCTTCCAGCATGCTAGGCAAGAGCTCTACCCCTTGATCCATGCCCCCAGCCTTTTTATTTGCATTTTTGCTTTTGAGATGGGGTCTCACTAGCTTTGCTCAAGATGGCTCTTGAATTTGAGATCCTTCTCCCTTTGCCTCCTGAGCAGCTGGGATTATAGGTGAGCTCCACCACCATGAGTTTAGGAAAATTAATTGCATAGATTCTACCAGCTGCCATCCCACTAGTGAGCGTACCGCCTTGGCTTCCTTCCCTACTTCCACTGTCTCCTGACTGTCCACTCACTCAGTACATTTAGCTGTCACTTTTGTTTTTTTTAACGGTACTGGGGTTTGAACTCAGAGTCTACACCTTGAGCCACTACACCAGCCCTTTTTTGTGACAGGCTTTTTTGAGATAGGGTCTTTCAAACTATTTGCCTGGGCTGGCTTCAAACCACAATCCTCCTGATCTCTGCCTCCTGAGTAGCTGGGATTATAAGTGTGAGCCACTGGCGCCCGGCACTAGCTGTCACTTCTAATACTGAGTCCTCCAGCCCCCAAACTCAAGCTCTTCTTGGTCAACTCTGAGCCGATGTCAGCTGGAAAGAATGTTAGAATCCAGGTCACTCACAGCCATAAGTGCAATACTGGGAAAACTGAGAACCAGAAAGAGAAGAAGGAGGAGCTGGCTGACAGCACTCACCCAGTGGCAGGAGGAAAAGGACAGACAGGGCCTGGGGGAGGGGAGAAGGGGCAGCAACCCGGTCTCCAGGCCTCCACCTCCTGCTCCTCTCATCTGGCTGGGCACCAACTGGCATCTCTGCTTCCTTGGGCATCCAACCAGTGGATGGCCTTTCTGATGGTCCCATCAAGGGGCCTGGGAGAAGTCACAGCTGCAACATCTGGAAATCAAGATCCTCAGTGTTTACTTCCAGCAGGAGGGGCACCAGGGAGACGGACATTTCCACCTGGGTTTGACATGCCTAGCAGAGGGAACAGGACCAACAGCTGGGAGGTGAGAAGGATGGAGTGGGGTCCGGGGGTGTGGTTTCATGGGACAGCATGCATAAGGTCCTGAGTTCCATCCCCAGCAGCTCCAAGGAAAGAAGGAAGGGAGGAAAAGAGGGAAACAGGGAAGGGAAGGAAGGAAGGGAGGGAGGGAGGGAGGGACGGAGAGAAGGAGGGAAGAAAGAAGATAGAAACTAATGAGGAGCTATGTTTGGCTAGAATCAAGGCTGTGAGAGGAAGGCAAAGATGTGGGAGATGAGGTCAGGCTGGGTCCAACCATGACAGTCCCAAAGGCTCAGAAGTTATTCTCTAGGACTGCAAGTCAAAAAATGTGAAGTTAGCCAGGCGCCAGTGATCATGCCTGTAATCTCAGCTACTAGGAGGCAGAGATCAGCAGGATCTCAGTTTAAAGCCAGCCCAGGAGAATAGTTCTCAACACCCTATCTCAAAAAAAAAAAAAAAAAATCACAAAAAAAGCAGTGCCTCAAGGTGAAGGCCCTGAGTTCAAACCCCAGTACCAGAAAAAAAAAAAAAGAAAGAAAGAAAGTGTAGTTAGCCAAGTGCAAGTGGCTCACACCTGTAATCCTAGCTACTCAGGAGGCGGAGATCAGGATTGTGGTTCAAAGCCAGCCAGGGCAAATAGTTCTCGAGACCCTTTCTCAACAAAATCCAACATAAAAAGAGGGCTGGTGGAGTGGCTCAAGTGGTAGAGTGCCTGTGTAGCAAGTGTGAGGCCCTGAGTTCAAACCCCAGTACTGCTAAATAAAAACAAAAAGGGGGTGGTGCCAGTGCTATGGTTGACATTTAAATTAACTCACTTAGTTGTTTTATTTTCATTGATTTTTTTTTTGAGACAGTCTCACTATGTAACTCAGGCTAGCCTTGAACTAAAGATCCTCCTGCCTCATCCTCCCAAGTACTGGGATTACAGGTGTGCACCACCACACCTGGCTTCACTGATTTCTCTCTTTTTTTTTTTTAACAATGCCTTCTATTTACAGCAAAGGACTGGTTTTCTATTTATTAGAACAATATAAAGTTTCCTTTTAAAATTAATTTAAATCAGAGAAATGAGTCAACTTAAAGAAATAAAAATATTAAGGAACTCATCACTCCCGTGGCACATAAACACTTGCAAAAACAGTGAAGGAAGGTTTGCAGGAAGTCAGTGCCATTTGGGATGCTCTGACTTTTGGGGTGTGGGACAAGCTCTTGGTGAGACATACATATCCAACTAAGGGCCTCTCATGTTAGGCAAGTGCTCTGCCATTGAATCACCCCTCACCCCAAGATTTTTTTTTTTTAAATTTTGGGTTGAGGTATAACAAGTGGGCCAGGCCTGGTGGTTCACAACTGTAATTCCAGCTACTTGAGAAGCCAAAATAGAAGAATCAAGATCTAATGCTGCCTGGGTGAAAGCTCAAGACCTGATCGAAGGCGAAACTGAACAGAAGCTTTGGGGCGCAGTGGCTCACCCCTGCAATCCTCCCTACTTGGGAAGCTGAGATCGGGAGAATTGGGTTGGAGGTCAGCCCTGGCAAATAATTCGTGAGACCCCCATCTCAACCAACAGCTGGATATGGTGGCACCTGTCTATCATCCCAAATTACTCAGGAGGCTGAGATTAGGTGGTTCCAGACCAGCCCAAGGAAAAAAGTTTTTGAGACACCATCTCAACAGAAGAAAGCTGGGCATGGTGGGGAGTGCCTCTCATCCCAGCTATATCAGGAACATAAAATAGGGGTAAATCACTGGTTGGTGGAGTGGCTCAAGTAGTAGAGCACCTGCCTATCAAGAACAAGGCCCTGAGTTCAAATCCCAGTACTGGAAAAAAAATCATAAATTCTATACGTGGAACTCAGTAAACATTTAGACCATGTTGTTAGCATCTCAGACCTCCCGACATCCATGTCCCTTCTCCTGGTGGGCTTTTTATTTATTTTGTCTGGGCTGGCTTTGAACTGCAATCCTTCTGATCGCTGCCTCCTGAGTTGCTGGGATTACAGGCGTGAGCACCAGCGCCCGGTGCCTAGTGGACTTTAGCAGGAATGTGACACTGAGTATGCAGATGATGGATGGGTTTGTTGGAGATAGATGGAAGCTGTTTCAGAGATTGATACAGCCTGGCAGAGTAGCTCAAGTGGTAGAGAACCTGCCAAGCAAGGATGAGGCCCTGAGTTCAAACCCCAGTACTGCCAAAACCAAACAAACAAGCAGAGGCTGATACAGCTCACAGGACTCTAGACGATGAGGAGCAGAGAGAAAGGAAAGACACAAAAGACAGGTGGGAGGGCAACCTGGCACAGAGCGGGTTGAGGGTCAGGAGATAACAGCATTCAGCTGTCTCCCAGACACCTTGCTGGAAGAGAGGTGGGGAGGACGGTCCCGTGTCCAGTGCATGGACAGCAAAGTGCAGGGGACACGATGCCCATTTGAGGAAGATCCCTTCACCCACTGCCCTGTACCCTGGCTTTGCCTCTGTCCTGGCATACACAGAGTCCTGTTGGGGACTGGGTGAAAACCTACCTGGATGCAGACATGGGGTTTTCAATGCTCCATTCATGGGGCCCAGGACAGCCCCCAGTGGAATAATCACCTTTTGTCCTTCCTGCCTGAGCTGGGGACAGCTGGGAGATGGGAACTAAGAATGGTAAGGAGGGGGAGAACCACAGGCCACTCTTGCCTGGTGGGCATACATCGTTTTCTCCATCGCCCACCCACCTCTAAGCCTGCTGGGACACTGTCCCCGGCCAGATTAGTCCCATCTTCGGAGCATGGGGACAAACAGCTTCCAAAGAACCTTGTAGAAACCCTCAGGTACCCCAACTCTACGTCTTGCTATTGTAGCCCAAGAGCCATGGGGAAAGACCCTTGACCCTGTCCTCCACCGGCTTCAAGCACCAGTCTTCTTGGAGGGCCTAACAAGCCTGCCTCACCCCCACCAAGTTCATTCCACCAGCTGCTCCCGTCTCATACTCTGGGGACATCGGTCAAAATGAGGCTCCATGCATCCCTGCCCTCGGTGACTGTGGCTCTCTGTAGCTCTGCCCTTCATGAAGGCACCTGTGGCCCTGTGGTCTCTTTACGGGGCAGGCAGGGATCACAACACAGTGGTTAGAAGCTGCTAAGCCTCACTGTTCTCATTTGTAATAAATACACTTGCCTCTTACAGTTATTGCTACATTAAATAAACTAATGTTTGTAAAAGATTTAGCCCAGTGCCTGACCCATCATCAGTGTGGGACCTATTATTATTATTATTGTCTCCCTCCCCTACTTCTTCCTCCCCTCCAGTCTAACTGTAGACCCTCAAAGGCAGGAACCAGATCTTATTCAGTGGTAGAATCTGGCATAGAGTATTCAGGAAATGTTTGTTGAATGACTGATTGAAGTTTTGGCACAGAATCATAGAAGAGGGCTGGGAAATCAAAGACAATGCTCCATCTAAAACTGTTCTCTCTCTCTCTCTCTCTCTCTCTCTCTCTCTCTCTCTCATACACATACACACCAGAAAAAGAAAAGGAGTCATACCTGGAAGAATGTTCTGGGCTCTTCCTTCTTCTATAGTCGATCCAAGCTGGAATCTCTCTCTCTGCCTTCACAGATTTAGCAGGAGGAAGGAGTCCCCAAATACAAATCAACACACACCTTTCTTCTAGTCATTCCCAAGCTGGAAAGAGAACAGAGACAAAGCCCCTGTCCATGAAGCTAGCTGGTAGCCCCAGCCTGAGCCCACCCAGCCTTTGGGGCAGAGAGAGTGGAGGTGGCCAGCACCACCAAGAGCAACCCTAGAGGACCAGCACCCAGATAAAGGAGGAGCTATAGGGGACGTGGCCTCTCTGGGCCAGGCAGCCCCTCCCCCGCTTTCCCCACCCTCAGGGGCTCAGGTTTCACACAAGTGATGATGGGTCTCCACCCAGGGCAGCCCTGCTGATCCACGGAGACAGCCTGGGGGTGGTGACTTGCCCTTGATCGACGCTATCTCAGCTGGGGATTGGACAACACAGTACCCCCAGTGTACCGGTGGGCTTCTCAGTAGGCAAGAGCGCACTATCTCCTTGCTGATTTGTTTTTGGTTTGGTTTGGTTTGGTTGAGTACTGGAATTTGAACACAGGGACTCATACTTGCTAGGCAGGCACTCTATCATTTGAGTCACTACTCCAGTCCATTTTGCTCTGGTTATTTTGAAGATGGGGTCTCTTGAACTATTTGCCCAGGCTGGCCTCCAAACATGATCCTTTCTATCTCAACCTCCCAAGTAGCTAGGAATACAGGCATGAGCCATCAGTATCCAGCTCCAAAACACTCTTTTTGTGGGGGGAGCTATGGGGTTTGAACTCAGGGCCTCATGCTTGCTGGGCTGGCGCTCCACCTTGAGCCACTCCACTAGCCCTGTGTGGTGTTGGATGTTTTTTGAGATAGGTTCTCATAAACTGTTTGCCCAGGGCGGGCTTCAAACCTTCATCTGCCTGATCCCTGCATCATAAGTAGCTAGGATTACAGGTGGGAGCCATCGGTACCTGGCCTTTTCTTTCTTAGAATGGACATGCGGACTTTTTTTTTTTTTTTTTTTTTTGAGACAGTCTCACTCCTTCTGTCTCCAGCTCCTGAGTGCTGGGATTATAGACATGTACCACCATGCCCAGGTTACATGACTTTGTCTTTTTATTTTTTGCAGTGCTGGGGACGGAATGGAACTGAGGGCCTTGTGTATGTCAGGCAAGCTGTTTACCACTGAGCTAACCCCAAGACTGCTTTTTTTTTTTTTTTTTTGCAGCACTGGGGTTTGAACTCAGTGCCTACACCTTGAGTTACTCCAACCAGCCCTTTTTTGTGATGGGTATTTTTTTTTTCATTTTTCTTTTATTATTCATATGTGCATACAAGGCTTGGTTCATTTCTCCCCCCTGCCCCCACCCCCTCCCTTACCACCCACTCCACCCCCTGTGATGGGTATTTTTTTGAGATAGGGTCTCTTGAACTATTTGTCTGGGCTGGCTTTGAACTGCGATCCTCCTGATCTCTGCCTCCTGAGTAGCTGGGATTACAAGTGTGAGCGAATGGTGCTCAGTTGGCCTTGAGTTCACCATCCTCCTGCCTCAGCCTCCTGAGTACTGGGATTACAGGTGTGCTGTACCACACCGGTCTCCAACACTGACATTTATGAAGACTTGAGGCAGATGTTGTATAGACTATCCCTTTACTGGGACTCAACTGATGTTTTTGTATGGTCATATTCAGGTTTTGAATTTTGGCAGAAATCCCTCAGAACTGATCCAAGTGGTTCCCAATTCCCCACACCAGGGGGCACCTGATGCCCATTTAGCCCACTAGTGGTTATGGTAACTTTTTTTTTTTTTTTTTTTTTGGTGCACTGGGGGTTAAACTCAGAGCCCTGCTTTTTTTTTTTTCTTTTTTTTTTTTTTCAGTACTGGGCCTAAACCTTGAGCCACTCAATCAGCGGCTTTTTTATGTTGGGTATTTTCAAGATAGGGGCTCTTGAACTATTTGCCTGGGCTGGCTTCGAACCTGGATTTTCCTGATCTCTGCCTCCTGAGTAGCTGGGATTACAGGTGTGAGCCACCACATCCAGGCCCAGCGGAGCCTTGCTTTTGCTAGGCAGGCGCTCTACCTCTTTAGCTACAGCCCCAGCCCTTTTTGCTTTAGTCATTTTTTCAAATAGAGTCTTGTGTTTTTGCCTATGCTGACCTGAGCCACAGTTCTCCTATTTATGCTTCCTGTGTGGCTGGAATAACAGATACACATCACCACACCCAGCTATTGTTTGAGATGGGGTCTCACTAACTTTTTACTTGGTCTGGCCTTGAACTGAGATCTCCCTCATCTCTGACTACTGAGGGTTGGGACTGCAGGTATGTGCTAGCCAAAGTGCTCCGACTGGTTACATTTTAATACTGGGGCTAAAGTGGTATGTGCCTGACTCAACCCCAGTAAAGTAACTACTTATTTATTCAGGATGAGCAAATGTTTATCGAGAAATCCTTTGAGACTATGTAGATACACTGTTTCTACTCACTTTCACTAACTTGGGTCTTTCTCTCCTCTCTTTCTCTCCCTCTCTCTCTTTCTCTCCCTGTCTCCTCCCTTTCTCTTTCTTTCTTTCAAATGTAATTTAGCATTCTTCCTCCCTCTGTCACCACACCACTGCACACACACTGTGGATTGAATCCAGAGGCTCAACCATACTAGGCAAAATTTACCACTTGAGTCATTCCCCAGTCCTCCACCAGCACGCTATTAACATGCACAGGTAAGTCCTGCCTGACTCCATCACTACTGTGATAATTGCAAATGGTTATTCTCTTACTTTTTGTCTGTGTTCCTCAGCTGAGCTTGAAGCTGAGATCCTTTTACCTCAGCCTCCCAAGTGCTAGAATTACAGGTATGGGTCACCACGAGAGGCTGCAAATAGTTATTTTCTAAACTCACCAGTCCTCCTGTGATTATTAGCTGTCATTCCACTGTAAAAAGTTTCCCTTTGCTGGGCACGGTGGCTCATGCCCATAATTCCAGCTACTCAAGAGGCGGAGATCAGGAGGATCGGGGTTCAAAGTCAACCTGGGCAAATAGTTCCGTGAGACTCTATCTAAAAAAAAAACCATCACAGAAAAAGGACTGGTGGAGTGGCTCAAGGTGAACGCCCCAAGTTCAAACCCTAGTGCTGCATAAATAAATAAATAAATAACAATGACCCAGCATTCATTGAGATAGGAGGATCACAAGTTCCAGGCCAGCCTGGGCTATTCTTTCAAAAAAAAAAAAAAAGGAGGAGGGACCTTGGACATAGCTCAAGTGATAGAGCACTTGCCTTGTACCCAAGAAGCCCTGTGCTCAGTCCCCACTATTGCCTTAAAAAATTCATCAATTTCTATATTCTTCCCTTCCTGAGGTTCACTCAGACCCACCACAAAGTAGGCCATCCATAAAGGCTGCATCTACTAGTCTTTCAACAACTAATGCCAGGACTGTTGCAGTAGACTCCTGACTCATCTCCAATTCCTCTCCTTCAGTACTGTACATGGCCTCCTTCCCCAAAGGCAAAGTTCAGCATCTCAGTCTCGCACCTTCACAACCCCCTAGGCTGCCATTCTCACCCCAAACGATCAAAGGCCTCTGAAGTTCTGGGTGACCTGAGCCTCTCTTCCCAGGCTCACTCAATGTTCTTTAAGCCTCTGTTCACACAGCTGCCTCTGCTCCTCCCACCCACACAATGGTTCCATTGAGTGATTTGTCTCTCAGATGGGCTCAATTGAAGAGCTTCTCCCTGGATATTGGCACTAAAACTCAGTACAAGGCCCTGGGTTCAATCCCCAGTATCACAAATACAAAATAGAGCCAGGCATGGTGGTACACACCTGTAATCCCAGCACTCAGGAAGCTTAGGCAGGAGTATTGTGAATTCCAGGCCAACCAGGACTACATAGCAAGACCCTGTCTCAATGCAACAAACCAAAACCAGGTGCTGGTGCCTCCCACCTGTAATCCTAGCTACACTGGAGGCAGAGATCAGGAGGGTCACAGTACGAAGCCAGCCCAGGCAAATAATTCGTGAGACCCTGTCTCACGAAATCAATCACGAAAAAGGGTTAGTGTGTGGCTCAAGTGGTAACAGCACCTGCCTAGCAAATGTGAGGCCAAGTTCAAACTCCAGTGCCGCCAAAAAGAAAAGAAAGAAAGAACAAAAAAATTAGTGGCTGGAAGTTTGAAGGACTGACAATACTCTGCAGGGTATCTTGAGATAAAGTTCCATCCATCAGCAAAGGTGACATGAAAATTTTCTCAAAATGTAAAACCACTAAAGAAATAAAATTTGAAGCCAGGTGTACTGGCTCATGCCTATAGTCCCAGCTACTGAGGAGGCTGAGAAAGGAGGAGTGCTCTAACCTAGGAGTTCAAGGCCAGCCTGAGCAAAACATCCCTAAAAAATAAAAATTAGCTGGGCACCAGTGACTCAAGCCTGTAATCCTAGCTACTCAGGAGGCAGAGATCAGGAGGATCGCAGTTCAAAGCCAGCCCTGGGCAAATAGTTCGTGAGACCCTATCTCAAAAAATCCTATCACAGAAAATTGGGCTGGTGGAGTGGCTCAAGGTGAAGGCCCTGAGTTCAAACCCCAGTACCACAAAAATAAATAAATAAATAAAAAAGGTAAAAATTAATGGCTGGAGCCAAGGTGGTGGCTCACACCTGTAACCCTACTCAAGAGATCAGGAGGACTGTGGTTCAAAGCCAGGCCAAACAAATAGTTCCTGAGACCCTAAATCAGAAAAAAAAAAAAAAAAAAGTCACAAAAAGGGCTGGCAGAGTGGCTCAAAGTGTAGGCCCTGAGTTCAAACCTCTCTACTGCAAAAAAAAAAAAAAAAAAAGTGACCAGGCACCAGTGGCCACACCTGTAATCCTAGCTACTTGGGATGCTGAAATCTGAGAGGATCTCTGGTTGAGGCCAGCCCAGACAAGGCAAATAGTTCACAAGACCCCATCTCCAACATAACCAGAGCAAAATGGACCATAGGCCTGGCTCAAGTGGTAGAGCACCTTCTTTGCAAGCACAAAGCCCTGAGTTCAAACTCCAGTCCCACCAAAAAATAAAAACATCATTTATTAAAATTGAATTTCAAAACAAAAATTGAATTTCAATTTGACTTGTCGGAGTTGCTCACGATTGAGGGGTCTGACCCACAGATTACTCAGTCAAGGCCATACAATTGATACGTCACTGATGTTGAATTTGGTATGATCCAATCCAATCCTGGTACCGCTCAATCCAAGCATCTTCCCTTGTTAGACCTGTGACTGTGACAGCTCTTAGCTGCCTTGACGGGTCCTCAGCTTCCTATACACAGGCAGGACCTGCAAAGGGCTGGACAGGAGCAGGGAAGGGGTGAGGAAACACGGCTGGTGCAAACTTTAATGCTACTACAAATCACTTTGGGTTCTCCAAGCCACAAGCCAGATTCTCATTGGTGATTTGGGCAAAGGCTGAAAGCCCTCAGGTCTAACAAGCTCCCAGGTGTCCCCGATGACCCTGCCAGGGATCACTTTACAAGGCAAGGACTTTGCCTGCTGGGCAGGAGCGGCAGGTGGGGACCCAGGTGGAGGGACCGTCATCCAGGGGTATAAAATGGCTGGGAGGTGGTCGCCCACTATTTCACCGGGACCATGGAGCTGAGCTATGGGCTCTTTGTTTGCGTTGTGCTCTGGGGAGTCACGGAGCTGTGTTGTCCCCACTCTCTCTGGCTCTCCCACAGAGAAACTCCGCATTCTGTGCGGTCCGTGATGCCTGTGGAGGTGGAGTGCCTAGAGGCTCACCTGGTGGTGACTGTCAGCAGAGACCTTTTTGGTACAGGAAAGCTCATCCAAGCTGCTGACCTCACCCTGGGCCCTGAGGGGTGTCAGCCTCTGGTCTCCATGGACACAGACGCGGTCAGGTTCAAGGCTGGGCTCCATGAGTGTGGGAACAGTGTGCAGGTGAGCCTGCGGGTCCCCTGGCTTTGGAGAGGGGATGTGGGAGGTGGCCAGTGATGGGGAATATGGCCATCCAGCCAGTGGGGCTGGGGGAGCTTCTTCCCCCTTGAAGGTAGAGTGGCTGGGGAGGGGTGACTTGGAGCTGGGCAGGGGGAGCTCCAGGCTATAGATGCTAAATTCCCTGCAGTGGGGGCCTCCAGAAGCGGCTCTGGGCTACACCAGGTACCCCTAATCTGAGGCATCCTGAGGATTTATGACCCCCCCCCCCATGGAGGAAATGCAGGAGGAGTGGTGGGCTCAATGTGAACGGGGGAGGGGTGTGAGAGGCCAGCCCTGTGCATAGCCCAGGCACTTACAAAGAGCACTTGAATCTTGCTTAAAGGGCTGGGGACATAGCTCAGTTGTAGAGCACTTGCCTTCTATGTGCAATGCCCTGGGTTCCATCCCCAGCACCACAAAAAAACAAAACTTGCTTGGAAAAAGATAAATTCTCATATTTCAAGAAAGCCAGGAAGTAATTATTATAGGGAAAAACAAGCCAGCAGAATTTTGGTCTCACTCTTGTCAGATATTCCTAGGGATTTGAGCTCAGGGCCTTGAGCTTGCTAGGGCCTTGCTCTACCACTTGAGCCAAGCCCCCTGCCTCATTGCTATTTAACAGCTTGAAGCTTTGAGCTACAAGTGGTTCAGAGCAGGGATCATCATAACTTTTTTTTGTGGGACTAGGGCATGAACTTGGAGCCCTGAGCCACATTCTTGTGATGGGTGTCACAAGACCCATCACAGGGATCTTGTGAACTGTTTGCCTGGGCTGGCTTCAAACCTCGATCCTGTTGATCTCTGCCTCCTGAGTAGCTGGCATTACAGGCGTGAGCCAATGGCACCAGCACCTAGCATGATAACCTTTCTATTAAAGACACTAAAAGTTAAAAAAAAAAAAAAGACACTGAAAGTTTTAACCTTGGACCAGGGGGCAGGTCCAATAGGCACTCCTACCCCAAGTCGGTGTGGAAATGAGTACTCAGACCACCAGGAGGAAACTTCCAGCAAGGCATGGCACAAATGTCCTGAGTTCCTGGTGCCCCGAGGAGGACCTGTCCTCACCTCCATCACGGGTCTCTGCTTGGCTGGGGAAGAGGCCAGCTAAGCCTCTGGAGCCCCCCAGTTAGAGCTCTGCTCTTAGCTGTGGTCCCCAAGGACTCAGGGTCCTCGTTTTGCTGGGAGTCTAACCTGGAGAGCTTCTAAAACACCAGCATCGAGTCTGTACCCCATCCTAAATCAGCAGTGGTGGGGGAGCCGGCCACCGGCATCTCCAACTCCCAGGTGACTCCAAGGCCTGGCACAGTGTTTCCCACTCTGCCTGATGAAAATGACTTGGTGCTGGGGCTGGTGTTATGGGTGCACAGCCTATGCAGTCCCGAGGGGCCATGTGCTCTGGTTAATGCTCTGAAATTCCTAACTTGTGAACAAAGAACCCCTCCCCCAAACCATGCTGCTGGCCCTGTCTAGGACACTTGGCTGATGGTGACCTAGGACTATACCCTGAATCTAGGGTAGAGAGCCTGGTACAGTAGTGCACACCTGTAGTCCTGGCTGCTTGGGAGGCAGAGGTAGGAGAATCAAAGTCCTAGGCCAGCCTGGCCAATAGCATGAGCCGCTAGCTGAACAACTAAACGCAAAAGGGCTGGTGGAGTGGCTCAAGTGGCACAGTGCCTGCACAGCTAGTCTGAGACCGAGTTCAAACCCCAGTGCTGCCAGAAAAAAATCTAAGGCAGGGGCTGCAGATGACCTCCTTTGTGGGGCAGATTCCTCAGGTGCAGTGCTACCCATACCTAGCAGCACCTGCCTGTGAGCTCCTGCCTCAGCCCACTACTGCCTCAGTGACTTGAGGACCGGTCAGAAGGTAGGGATGTGAATTGGATAGGAAGTTTTTGGCCCTTTCTGGCTGCTGATCAAGGGTCTCTCTTGTCTCCATAAAAGGAAATTGTGAGCAGGGCTCCAGTGGCTCACACCTGTAATCCCAGCTACTCAGGAGGCAGAGACCAGGAGGATCACGGTTCAAAGCCAGCCTGGGCAAATAGTTCACAAGACCCTACCTCAAAAACCCATCAGAAAAAAAGGGCTGGAGTGACTCAAGGTGTAGGCCTTGAGTTCAAATCCTGGTACCAAGGAAAAAAGAAAACTGTATGTATTGGAGGCAGGTGACAGGGGCTAGGCATATCCTGACCTCACAGGGAATGTCGTGTAAAGACATTGACAACCCCTGCCCAGCCCTCCATATGGTGAGCAGCAGGCCCTCCCGCGCCCTGCATGGCTCGGTGGCATTAACCCGCCTTTGCTCCAGGTGACGGATGACGCCTTGGTGTACAGCACCTTTCTGCTCCACGACCCCCGCCCCGTGGGAAACCTGTCTATCCTGAGGACCAACCGTGCAGAGGTGCCCATTGAGTGTCGGTACCCCAGGTCAGTGGGACCCTCCCAATCTCAGAGGGGACAGGGGGAGGGAGTGCCGAGTGCCCACCAAGGGCCTGACTTTTTTTTTTTTTTTTTAATGCAGTACTGAGATTTGAACTTGGGGCCTCACACTTGCTAGCCAGGTGCTCTACCACTTGAGGCACTCTAGCCCTCTTTTGGGTTGGGTATTTTTCAAGATAGGGTCTCGTGAACTATTTTTCTGGGCTGGCTTCTTTGTGATCCTCCTGAGTAGCTGGGATTACAGGTGTGAGCCACCAGCACTGGGCTTGACTGCCTCTTACTGGAAGCGGCAGAGTTGCCCAGCCCTGGCCCTCGAAGTTCAGAAGTCAAATCTTACTCAACATGCACCAGTGACTCACACCTGTAATGCTAGCTACTGGGATTGAGAGGATTGTGGTTCAAGGTCATCTTGGGCAAACAGTTTCTGAGACCCTCCCTGCCCCCCCCCCACAGATAAGCAGAGCAAAATGGACTTGAGGTGTGGCTCAAGCAGTAGAGCGCCTGCTTTGAGTGCAAAGCCTTGAGTTCAAGTCCTGCCTGGGTCTGTGACTGCACAGTGCCTAAGCCTTGGCCAGTTTAGAAGGAATTGGGAGGGATGATGGGAGGGGTTAAGTGGGCAGTCTCTTTTTTTTTTTTTTTCTTTTTTTGTGTGGCTCTTTTTTTTTTTTTTTCCCCCCCTCATACTTGGGATTAAACTGAAAGTCTCAAGCTTGCTAGGCAAGTTCTGCCACTTAAGCCACTCCACCAGTCCTTTTTGCTTAGTTTTTTTCAGGTTGGTGCTTGTGCTTTTGCCAGGGCGGACCTCAGATCTCCATCCTCCTACCTCTGCCTCCCAAGTAGCTGGGACTACAGGCATCTGTCACCATGTCTGGTTAAGTTGAAGGTCTTGATACCAGTGAACACATGACCATGTGCCTGTGGAGGGATTGTGAGCAGGGTTCCCAGAACAAGATCTGGCAGCTGAGTTTTGAGGCTGAGATAGCTCGGGGAAAGCAGTATGTGTCTTACTGGGGCCTGGCTCAATCAGGAGAGCTCCCAGACATGGTCCTGAGGCCCAACAGATCTGGGAAAAGGCATTCATGCTCCAACCTTAGCAGGAGACACTCCTGAGAATCAAACAGGAGCGGGGAGGCCCTGACCCAAGAGTCACCTGGCACCAGGTGGGAGCCAGTCAGTAAGATCAGCTGCAGGCTGGAGGAGGAGGAGGAAGTGAGGCCTCTGTGACAGCAGGGGTACAGACCAGCTAGAGGGAGCCAAGAACCGGAGGGGCTTGTTAAGCCATGTGGCTTGTGGAGACAAGAGCCAAGGGCAGGATGTCAGCAGCTCTTTTGTTGACCAGAGGGCCAAGGCCCTTCTTGGACCACGGTGGTTGGTGCTGGGGTGCTCCATCCTTGTCTAGGACATATTAACATGATCAATAAATCACCGCTTGGAGAAATTGCCTCTCTTGGCAGATGTTCTGGTGGGCATCTGTAGACATCTATCCTGGCTAACTTCTATTTGCTTTCTCATCACTGGTCAGACTCAGGTGATCATTAGCTTTTCAGGAGCCAAAGGCTGGACACAGTGGTTCACACCTGTAGTCCCAGCTACTCAGGAGGCTAAGATGGGAAAATCACTTGAGCCCAGGATTTGGGGCCAGTCAGGACAACATAGAGAAACCCTACTTCAAAATAAAAACCAAGCTGGGGCCAGTGGCTCACGCTGGTAATCCCAGCTACTCAGAAGGTAGAGATCAGGAGCACTGTGGTTCAAAGCAGCTGGAAATAGTTCTGAGCACCCTATCTCAGATACCCAGCACAAAAAAGGGCTGATAAGCCTCAAGAGGTCGAGAGTCCAGTACCCCCAAAAGCCAGTTGCCTGTCTGTAGAGGATGTCCTAACCAGGACTCACCTCTCAATGTTGAGGGGTACAGTGCACCCAGATGTGAACCTCCAAGGCAAGTTAGCAGGGAACAGCTCAGTCCAGAAGCTAAACTTCTAGCTTTCGGTCTGATTTGATGCTGTCGCCACATGGCCTCACTTTGAATGGCTGGGCTGCTCCCAGGTGTAGAAGATCGTGAGGGTTAAGACTCAGGCTTTGCCAGGCACCAGTGGCTTACACCTGTAATCCTAGCTACTCAGGAGGCAGAGATCAGGAGGATCATGGTTCGAAGCCAGCCCAGGCAAATAGTTCAAGACCCTAATCTTGAAAAATTTCATCACAAGAAAAGAGCTGGTGGAGTGGCTCAAGGTGTAGGTGCTGAGTTCAAATCCCAGTACTGCTAAAAAAGCCTCAGGCTTCTGCTGCTTTGACGTAGCTAAGCCACTGGGCCATGGTTGGCCACCCTGCAGTGGGTAGAAAGGAGACCACCAGGATGGGAGCATAGCTCAAGAGACGGCATTTGCCTAGTGTGTGTGAAGCCCTGGGCTCCATCCCCAGTATCGGGGGGGGGGGGGACACTCCCCCACTGTGAGTGTAGTTGGGGTATCCCTTACAGCGGGTGGGGACAGCTGTGGCTCTTGTCCCAGGCAAGGCAACGTGAGCAGTCAGGCCATCCTCCCTACCTGGGTACCCTTCAGGACCACAGTGTTCTCAGAGGAGAAGCTGGTGTTCTCGCTGCGCCTGATGCAGGGTAAGCTGGGGGGCTGAAGGGTGGGGGGGGAGCCCTGGACAGCCTCTAGCCCATGCTTGTGACCTCTGATCTCCCCCCCCCGCCCCCTCAGAGAACTGGAGCACTGAGAAGTCATCCCCCACCTTCTACCTGGGAGAGGCAGCACACCTCCAAGCAGAAGTACACACTGGCAGCCATCTTCCCCTGCAGCTGTTCGTGGACCACTGTGTGGCCACGCCTACACCGGACCAGAACTCCTCCCCATATCACATCATCGTGGACTTCCATGGGTGAGGCCTGGCTACCTTTCCAGGGAGCCTTCATAACGAGCTAGCCCGGTGCTGGTCATCTTCCCCAGCTTCTAACGTCATTCTTCCATGGTTGCCTTCCAAGTTGCCTTGTGGACGGTCTCTTTGGCTCTTCTGCGTTCCAAGTCCCCAGACCTGGGCCTGGGACCCTCCAGTTCACAGTGGATGTGTTCCATTTTGCCAACGATTCCAGAAACACGGTAATATTTAATGGAAGAATAATGAACTTTGGGTCAAGCTTAATAACTCCATGCTATGCCAGGCATCTGTGGCTCATCCCTGTAATCCTAGTTACTCAGGAGGACTGTGGTTCAAAACCAGCCTGGGCAAATAGTTCACAAGACCCTATCTCAAAACCATCACAAAAAGGCTGGCGTGGTTTAAGGTGTAGACCGTGAGTTCAAACCCAGTGCCATCAAAAAAGTAGGGAAGAGCCAGGTGTGGTGGTTCAAGCCTATAATCCTAGCACTTGGGAAGTGGAGACAGGAGGGTCATGAGGCCACAAAGTCAAGACCCTGCTTTAATAGGCTTAAAACTTGCTTTCCTGATTAGCTTCTGGAAACGTTGATGCTACCAGCCAGGATCCCACCTAAAAACCATCAAGCTGTAAAGGTTAAGTTGAACCTTGGATGGAGGGAAGATGAGGCCTATGACCAAGCCAGGGATGAAAAAAAGGAGAAAGAACTGGCTGCTTGCCAGAAAGTTCTAGCCAACTCCTAGGAGCTTAGTTTTCAACTCTAATCACCTGGAAAGGTCACAAACCACTGCTTGGCGAGTGCTGGTGGGTCACACCTGTAGTCCCAGCTACTTGGGAGTCTGAAATCGGCAGCCTAGGCAAGTAGTTTGAGACCCCCATCTCAAACAACCAGAACAAGATGGACCTGAAGGCATAGCTCAAGTGGTAGAGCGCTTCCTTTGTAAGTACAAAGCCCTGAGTTCAGGAACCTGGTCCCACCAAAAAGACAGTGTGAACATGGTGACACACAACTGTAATCCCAGATATGCAGGACGGGGAGGCAAGACCCTGTCTTCAAAACTAGAAAATCAAAGGGCTGGGGATGTGGCTCAAGTGGAAGAACGCTTGAGGTACTGGGTTCAATTCCCAGCCCTGCCAAAAAACTAGAGGGTAGAGGATAACACTGGTTAGGGCAAGAGTCTGAGCTCTGGACTGGTTCCCCCTAAAAAGGAGAATCAACGTCTTGGCTGAATGTGGCCATAGCACAAGGGGGAATGATTTCAAGAGCTATAAAGGAACCACCTTGACCATACAGGCAGTACCAGAAGAATGGGCTGGGGGAGTTAAAGATGAAACTTCAGCTCCAGTGAGAAGCTGGTGGAATTTCCAACCAGGTCCACTTAGGAACAAGGAGTCCAAGCCCTACCTGGGGGAATTGTGGAGCTAGAGCTTGGTCAGAATGCCCCCTCTGGGGTATCAGCCTCTATGGTTAAAAGATCTGCAGGGTGGGTGACTTGACTAGAGCCCTCTGACCCAGCAGGAGTTCCCTTTTGCTAGACAAGAAGGGTCAAGTAGCTTTTTCCAGAGGCAGGGACTATGCCAGGTCTGGACAGGGCATCAGACTGGGCTTGTCACAGACGGATAGAGGAGGAATCGAAGCTGGGCACTGGTGCTCACACCTGTAATCCTAGCTACTCAAGAGGCAGATCAGGATTGTGGTTTGGAGCCAGTCTGGGCAAATAGTTCACAAGAGACCCTCTCTCAAATATTCAACTCAAAAGGCTGGCAGAGTGGCTCAAGCAGAAGAGCATTTGCTTAGCAAGTGTGAAACCCTGAGTTCAAACCCCAGTGCCACCAAAAAGAATTGAGGTTTAGAGAATCTGGCCTGGAGAAAGAGCCAGAAAGTTGACTTGTACTCTAGAATACAAACTCCAGAGGAACTAGTACAAAACACCTGTGTCCAAGGAACTCGGGTCACAGAAACAACTAGCTCCCTTTCCCCAGCTGAAAAGGGGGCAATATCGGTGACCACATCCCTGAGAGGGTAAGTGACTTACCAAGTAGCAGGTGGCAGTCCTAGGAGCCCAGCTGAGCTGGGGCTAGGTGGGATGATAGAAATGTTTGGCTTTTTTTCCCAGCTATATGAAGGTTTTTTTTTTTTTTTTTTTTTTTTTTTTTTTTGAGCTCAGAGCAGATCATACTAACAGGCAAATTTTGGAAACTCCCACAAAGATGATGGTTCCCATTCTAGAATGAGATGGGTTCACTTGTTCTGCAGCTTTGGGCAAGCTAATCACTGGACCATTTTAGAGACGGTGGCTCCTCCCCCACCCCAACCTTCTGAAGGGTTAAGTGTTAAGGGAAGCTTGTTTGCTGGGCACAGGGATGCATGCCTGGAATTCCAGCTAGAGGTGGGGGTAGGAGGATCTCAGCTTGTAGCTGGCCGAGGCTAAAGTGTGCGACTTGCTATTTGGAAAAACAAAGGATTGAGAGCATGGCTCAATAGCAGAGCGCTTGCCTAGCAATTATGAGGCCCTGACTTCAGTCCACAGTACTACAGTAGTTTGTCAAAGTCACTGGCCCAGACTGTCACAAGGCTAAGTCCTTACACTATTTCTTTCAGGTGTACATCACCTGCCACCTAAAAGTGGCTCCAGCTGACCAAGCCCCGGATCAACTCAACAAAGCCTGTTCCTTCAACAAGTCTTCCAATAGGTGAGAAGACCAGGTTCTACAAACTGGGCTGCAGACTCTATCCAAGACCCCTCATGTCCATCCTCCCACCCCCACCAGTGAATCACTTCCTGTCCTCAACAAACTATCCAAGTTTCTTGCTATGTGCTGGTGGCTCACGCCTATAATCCCAGCTACTCAGGAGGCAGAGATCAGGAGGATCAGTTTGAAGCCAGCCTGGGCAAATAGTTTTCAAGATCTTATCTTGAAAAAACTGTCACAACAAAGGGCTGGTGGAGTGGCTCAAGGTGTAGGCCCTGAGTTCAATCCCCAGTACCACAAAAATTAAGCTTCTTATCTTGTTTCTCAGGTGGTCACCAGTAGAGGGCGATGCTGACATCTGCAAATGCTGTGACACAGGTGACTGTAACAGGCCAGGTTATTCCAGCAGACAGCCCCAGGCAGTGAGCCAGTGGCCCAAGTCAGCTTCAAGAAACCGCAGGCACGGTATGTCACTGGCAGTCACTGGGTTCTCAATTGTCCCCTCCCCTTGTTCTAGGTCACCTGGCGTTACTTCAGGGTGAAGTTCTTCCACCTTAACCTCCATTAAGGCTGTCCAGGTCTTATATAGAAATCGCAGACCTAACTGGGAGGACTCTGAGCTCCCCCAGTGATGGGAGTGGGTAGCTCTGATGTCCTCCAGTTCTTCTAAGACTCAATTGTGCTGAGGGGATAACGCAGCTGTCACTCAGCCCACTGAGGCAGAGCAAAATCCCTGACCTGATTACTGGTTAAGGACTAAAGTGACGTTCAGAGCCTGACATGGTGGTACATACCTGTAATCCCAGCACTCATAAAGCTGAGATGGGAGGACAGAGTTTTTGAGGCCAACCTGGGCTACATAGTGAGAACCTTGCCACCTACACCCACCAAGAGATTCATTTGGGCTGGGAGTGTGGCTCAGTGATAGAATACTTGATAGTATCTGAGGACCTAGGTTTGATTCCCCAGCACTGCTTTTAAAAAGTAATCTCTGTCCTGTTCCTTTCAGTGTCAGAGGAAGCAGATGTCACTGTGGGGCCACTTATCCTCCTGGGAAAGGCTGGTGACCACAGAGTGGAGGGCTGGACCTCTCCTGCTCACACATCCATTGCACTAGGCTTAGGTCTAGCTGTGGTGGCATTCCTGACTGTGGCTGCTCTTGTCCTGGGTCTCACCAGTACCTACCGCACTGCTTCCCACTCTGCAACACTTTCCCAATAAAGGAAGAAAGCCAAAGCCAACTCGGTGTGGTTCTGTGACTACAAATGGGTTAGGACTGGTGACGGCCACCTGGGGGCAGGGGACAATGTCACCCAATCCTATGGGCTCCAACAACACAATCCAGTAAAACTGAGCTTCTATCGAGCGGCCAACTGTCCAGAATGGTTTGTGAAGGCAGACGTGTGTCTCATGGCTTTGGGAAATCTGCCCTTCTAAGGATCAGATGGGAGCTCTTGGGGACAGAGTGAGGTGGGCCCAGGCAGCCTGAGGTCCAGCTAGCCAAGAATATCTGGCTTTCAGCCCAGGCACTGGTGGCTCACACATACCTGTCATCCTAGCTACTCAGGAAGCAGATCAGGAAGATCAAGGTTCAAAGCCAGCCTTGGAGAAAATAGTTCAGGAGATCTTTTCTCAAAAAAATCACAACGGGCTGGAGTGGCTCAAGGTGTAGGGTCTCAGTTCAAAAACCAGTACTGCCAAAAAACGTCTGTGACTGATTCTGGGGAAGACGGGCATAGAGGGAGGGGACTTCTGCCCCACCCTCCTTAAGGGCAGGAGATAAAAAAGCTAAGTGTCTAGATCTTAGAGGCCATAAAGCCAGGAGGAACAGGGTCCCCAAAGCAGGGCAGTGATGTTTAGTGTTTCCTGCCTTGTCCTGTGAGATTACCAGCATCCTTGTGGAATATCGTGTTTGGGATGCAAATGTGTCACTGGCTCAGGGAGGGGGATATCTTAGGTAGTAGCAGGCCTTGGCGTGGGGGGGCTAGGATCTACTTGTCAGCCTCCCTCACTTTTCTGATTTTTGTTTTTGTTTTTGAGACAGGATCTCACTATGTAGCCCAGATGGCCTCAAATTTGTTCTTCTGCCTTAGCCTCTCGAGTGCTGGGATTACAGGCGTGAAGGACCAAGCCTGGCTCCCTATTGTTCTCCCCATGTCTGCTGCCTCCCTCCCCTGGGACCTGGCACAGCCCCTAAGAGTCTAGAAAGGGAATAGTGCTACAGGGTTTCCAGGAAGCTGGTGGTCCATCTCCAGTGGGAGGTGGTCAAGTTCTTGATGCTGAGGGGCTTAATGCCCCCTCCCCAGTGGGCTTGTTCCCACTTTGCCCCAGCCCTTCTCACTTCCACTGGGTGAAGGTTGCCTTCCCTGTAGCATTCCAGCTTGGTAGCTACCTGATAGGTCTTAAGAGCTGAGTGGGGCTGGTACCTGCTGGGCAGGGCTTTTTATTAGATTAAAAAATCCCGTCAGAGACAGAGCAGCAGACAGACTGGGCACTGGTGACTCATACTAGTAATCCTAGCTACATGAGAAGCTGGGATTTGGAGGATCTCAGTTTGAGGCTAGCCCAAGCAAATAGTCTGCAAGACCCCTATCTCAAAAATAACCACAAGGAGGCACCCTCTTTTGGGACACCCCTTCCCCCAACTCTGGGGACTCTGATATACAATTTCATGTTTTTTCTCTCAAACTCTCCTGCTTTACACTTGGTGGGAGGAAAATGGACTTGGGGGTGTGGCTCAAATAGTGGATCGCCTGCTTTGCAAGTTCGAACCCCAGGCCCACCAAAAAAATAAAGGCAGTAACTTGTATGGCTGTTCCATTTCCAACCAGGGGTCTGGCTGAAGTGAGGGCTCAATTGTGTTGCCTCAGGCAAAGAAAGATGTCTAAGACATACACAGGGCAAATGGTTCCAGTCTACTGAGCGTGGGAACCCTTTGACAGCCCAAGTGTGGGCTGTAAACACAGCATTTCTGGGGAGTCTCTTAGAATTGTATCCCAGCCAGGTGTAGGTGGCTCATGCCTGTAATACTAACTACTCAGGAGGCAGAGATCAGGTGGATCTCGGTTCAAAGCCAGCCTGGGCAAATAGTTCACCAGACCCTGTCTTGACAAAACCCATCACAAAAAGATGCTGGTGGAGTAGCTCAAAGTGTAGACCCTGAGTTCAAACCATAGCATGGCAAAATAAAATGCACCATGAGTTTGGGGGCCTAGCATGCAGAAGGCCCTGGGGAGAAGGGGAACCAGCTCCCCTCTCCAAAAAAAAAAAAAAGCTGGGTGCAGTGGTTCATGCCTATAATCTTAGCTACTCAGCAGAGATCAAAAGGATCTCAGTTTGAGACCAGCCTGGGCAAATAGTTCATGAAACCCCTTCTCCAAAATAACAAAAGCAAAATGGACTGGAGGTGTGGTTCAAGTGGTAGAGCGCCTGCTCTGCAAGTGTGAAGCCCTGAGTTCAAACCTCAGACCCACCGAAAAAAAAAAAGGGGAGGTAGGAGAACTTTGACCTCCAGAAAAGGGGTGCTTGGGCTGGAGAAGGAACCTCATACAGCCAAAGAACACCTTAAACAGATCTTTGCTGTCAGGAAAAGTGACTGGAAGAGCAAAGAATGTGGTCTGGAGGCTGGGAGGAAGTTATCCCTAAAGCCAGACCTCTTCAGGCTCCAGTCCTGGCTTCCTGCCACTTCTAGGTGGGCAGGTGACCCCATGTGTAGGATGGGACAATGTGTGGAGTTAGATGAGAAAAGCATATGGTAGAAAAACTCTTTTTCCCCCACCCCCAATGCTGGGAGTTGAACCCAGGGCCTCAAGCTTGCTAGAAAAGCACTCTACCACTTGAACCACACCCCAGCCCAATGCTGCAGGACTTCTTTTCTTTTTTGGTGAGACTGGGGTTTGAACTTGGGGCTTTGCATTTACAAAGCGGGTGATTTACCACTTAAGCCACACATCTAGTCCATTTTGCTCTGCATATTTTGGAGATGGGGTCTCTTGAAATATTTGCCTGGGCTGGCCCTGAACTACGATTCTCCCGATCTTAGTAGCTGGGATTACAGGTGTGAGCCACTGCACTGGTGCCTAGCTTGCTGCAGAACTCTTGCAAAAAGCTCTGGGGTTGGGGACAGGTGGCCTATTTCATATCCCACCCTGTGTTACCTCTGCTGAAGTCTCCTCCACTACCTAACAGCAACCTTAGCCCAGGTGTGTGCATGTGTGGTTCCTTCAGGGTCTTAGTGATGACTTTGTCATGTGTCCCCTGGAATCCAGCCTGGGTTCAATCACAACTGCTCTGTAAGTCATCACAAAAATTCGACACTTAGGATATACTGGGGACTGCTGCTGCAATGAACAGTGGTCTGTCCCTGGTCCTTGAGTTTCTGTCCTTTGGTTTCCTCAGCAGAAAGAGGAAGTGCCTGTGTCTGGGGCAAGGAGGAAGGCATGACTAGGATGTAACCCTGAATGTCAGGCTGGGCCTTAGCTCAGCAAGGGGTGGGAGGAAGCTCCCCAATCACCCTGAGAGGGGACCTCCAGCAGAGATGTCTGAAAGCCCAGCCTTTCTACAGTGGTATAGGAAGGAAACTGCTGGCTGTCCTGATGTCCATTATTCAAGCCTCCTCTTTCCCTAGTGTTTGGGGCAGCTTCTATTGCCCTGTAGACATTTGGTCAATCAACCTTTCAAGTGTAGATTTAAAACTTTACCTTTGTAGGTGGGGAGAAATGGCCCAAACAATGTATGCACATATGAATAAATCAAGTAAAAAAAAAAACTTTACCCTTGTGCTTCCTAGTAGCCAGGGGGAAAAAGGATTTGTTGCCAAATCCTTGAAAGCAATTATCATATAAATACATAGGGAAAATGTCAAACATCTTGTGTAATTCATTCATTAAGATGTTAAAAGGAGTGGGCTAGGGGTGTAGCTCGGTGGGACCACCAAACTAGTTCAAGGAGAATCCACAGGGCAGAAATTAATTGCATCTCTACTGAAATGAGGGTTGAGGAGGAGAAAATGACTACCCCCCCCCCCACCCTTCTAGGTTCTTTGGCTGGGATGTGAATTAAATTGACATTAACACAGATTTGCAGGAGAAAATAAATTTGTGTTCATATGCTTGGGGATCCCACAAAAATATGAAGCTCAAAGTGTCAGATAACTGAAAAATACATAGTATCCTGAGCTACAGGAAGGATAGGAACTGGAAGTTTGGCTCAAGCTGTAGAATGCTTGCTTTGCATGTTCGAAGTCTTGAGTTCAAACCCAGACCTGTGGGGGGGGGAAAATTCTTCCTTCTACCCTTTGGGCTGAGAGAGTGGCGCAAGTTGTAGGGTGAGGGGAAGGGATTAGTTTGTCTTGATATGCAGCTACAAAGTATCTTCTGTAAATTGCCAAGCTGTGATGGATACTTTTAGTAATGTAAATCACCTTCTTGACTGTAAATTTCTTTTACAAAATGACAGTTCAGAGTAACTACTGTGTATACAGTTTGTCAGAATAAGTACCTCGAACATGCTGAAGTGTATTTTAGGACTCTGGGCATGGCTCAAGTGGTAGAGTGGCCCTGAGTTCAAATTCAAGTACCACCCCAAAAAAGGGGATTGTGGAAAGTCTATTGCATTACTATTTTCTACAACTTGTTCAATACTTTATTCAAAGACAATGAAAGGTGGAGAGTGGTGGTACACTCCTATAATTCCAGCACCTGGGAGGCTGAGGGAGGAAGATATTTGAGTTGGAGGCCAGTCTGAGATAGTGAGATTGTAAGAGGTGCTCAAATTGCTTTTGCAAAAAAGTATGGACTCCTTACTCAAGTCCACACATTAACTGAAATCAGGAGTCAGTGACTCACCCCTGTAATCCCAGCTACCCAGGAGGCAGAGATCAGGAGGACTGAGGTTCAAAGCCAACCCTGGGAAAAAGTTTGAGAGACCCTATCTCAAAAAACAACAACAAAAAAGGCTGGTGGAGTGACTCAAGGTGAAATTCAAACTCCATTACCAAAACAAACAAACAAACCAAAAAAACCAGGAGAAAAGCCTGGTATCCCTGCCTCTATTTTGTACCTGTCTTTGCTGTAAGCCATTCTCTTTGCAATCTCCCTGGATTCCAGGAAAGAACTGATAACATCTTCATGACAAGGCACCCAAACTACTGCTAACAGTAGGCCTCCTTCCTCTGGGTGGACCACCTGCCAGGTAAAGATGACTCCAGTTTCAAGACCCTG